CCATTCCTGAGGGTACCTGGCTTTCTGCCCCTCCACCTGTCCCCTGCCCCTCTCCTCCTCACCTTCATCCATGCTCTGGTTCCTGTTCTGGACGGCCCTCGGCCCTCCCCTCCTCAGCCCTGCTTCCCCAGTGACCCCAGCTGGCACATGTAGGGGATCCAAGGCCTTTCCTTGCAGCTGAGAAAGCCCCCTTCGGGGAGCACCTGGGTTGTCCCAGGTGGATGCTAAATGGCTTCTGACAAGCATCTTGCCAACTCTGTCCAAATCCCCAGCGACTCGAGTGAGCTCTCCACGGCCACCCACCCACCTTCCCAACTGGTTTTCTGCTTGCCCCACGCTGTCTGCAACCCTCCAGGCTGGCCCAGCCCCTGCCACACCCACGTCTGCTCCTGAGCCCTCATGCAGCTCCTGTGCTGTGGTCTCTGCCTTACAGGACAACCACTCAGCATCCTCCAGGGGCAGCTCAGACCTTCTCCTCTGAGCCCCCTGCACACACATCTGCACACGTACACTGTGGTCACACTGCCAGCAGTGGCTGTGACGTGCTCCCTGGGGCAGGGAACCAGGTGAGGCTCTGCCTGGGCCTGCAGGAAGGGGCACGGGGGACCCCTGCCCAGATCCTCCCGCCTGAGCTGGTCCCGGCGCCTCTGAGGCCGTGGCCATGGTGCTGACGGTGGGCAGCCAGGTGTGGTCACCCCAGTGGTCTCTGGCACAGACAGAGGAGGCGTGTCCCACAGGGGAAAGTTTAGAACCCTGCAGCAAAAGTCGGGGCTGGTGTGTCCTGATCACTGGAGGCACGAGAAAGCAGGGGCCGACCTCCTGGAGGGAAGGATGGGGCAGGGTGGTGGCCAGGGCCATGAAGAAGTAGGTAGATTTGGGGTCCATTTAAGGGAAAAGCGCAGTACTTGCTGGGGGGTGGGTGTCAGCGTGAAGAAAGGTGACTTCTGCCCCTCGCTTGTCCACGGCTGCAGCGGGACGCAGGTCGCAGCCGTGGCCCGTCCGGCAAAGCCCAGAATGATGGGCTCAGGGCCGTCTTCTCTCCCCTCCAGGGCTATGAGGACTGGCTTCGCCATAAGGCGGACAACGCCATGAACCAGTGCCCGGTGCACTTCATCCAGCATGGCAAACTGGTCCGGAAGCAGAGCCGGAAGCTGAGGGTGAGTAACACTGGTGGTTTGTTCTAGCCCAGACGCAGAACAGTCCAAACCCAGAACATGGCAACATGGCGGGTGCTACGTGAGCCGAACCTCTGTCTGGAATTGCTTCTTTACAGCTGGAGGCCAACCTCCTCCCCAAACGCTTCTTACTAAAACAGGCGCCTTCCACTATCTGTTTTCTTAACTTTAATTTTATTTATTATTTTCAAGTTGTAATAGACTTGATTTTTTAGAGAAGTTCAGTTTCACAGACCCCATCAGGGTTGTCTGAACTTTATGAGATTGTACTCACCAGTCACGATAGAGAAAGTTCTAACACGCTGTTAAAGAATTTATTCTAGAACAAGGCAAAGTCATATTAATGTGAATTCCATTGGTTGGAAACTGTGAAAATAGGGACAGAAACCTCACTGAAGCCTTCGTTTTAATTTCCTGTTTCAGTGAACCATTCATGCATCATTATCTGTTAAATGTTGGCATCACTTAGGCAGTGGTTTTCACACCTGTGCTAGCCAGTGGGAAGCATGTACCCAGACAGGGAGTGTGATTGCTAAGGTTTATCCTGAGGAGTGCTCGCTGGGACCCCATGGGGCCGCTGCACCGAGGCTGTCTATCTGTTCTGCAGGTGGGGGACATCGTCATGGTCAAGGAGGACGAGACCTTCCCCTGTGACTTGATCTTCCTCTCCAGCAGCCGTGGAGACGGGACCTGCCACGTGACGACCGCCAGCTTAGACGGGGAATCCAGTCACAAAGTACCGTGCCTTTCATCTGGGGCCACACAGGCCCTGCCCCAGCCCTGCTGTGCCTGCAAACACAGTGCTCCCAGTGGTCACAGGGCACCCCAGGGGGCTGTGCTGGCCATGTGGCCCCTCAGGGTCTGTGGCAGCCAACCATGGTTAACAGAGGCAACTTCATGTTATTTCTTAGCTGTGCCGTTTAGCCAAGGGGCCAAATTAAGGATGCAGTGAGTAGACTGTGGGAATTTTGAAATTTTTCATTTAGTGTCTTGGCTAGACTAGAATTATGTAAAAAGCCACACAAGAGTCTAGATTTTAAGTGACTGTTAGTTCAATGAGTGCCTTTTTGTTAGAATATCTTCAGGATTTTCTGAACTTATAATTAATGTCTTGTACTCCATGTGGAGCTCTGTTCTGGCAGTTGGTGCTACAGAACTTTAATGATCACGAAAGAATAGAAGATATCACTATTACTTTTAAGGATTTCATTATTTAAAAACTGGAAGCTTCCATGGAGTTTAGGGAAGTGAGTGTAGCTCAGTGGGCCCAACCGTGTGGGAGACGTCAGCCAGCTGTGGCTAATAGTGGAATTTGGCCATGAGAAAGAGAGGTTTTCTTTCTTTCACGGATAGTTCACATCCTTGCATGAACCGTGCGGGACTTTTTGGGCACATTTCCTACATACAGATCCCGAGAGACCTAACATTCTGGCACCATTCATACTAAGTAAGGAAATCCCGGGAGACTCGGTGACTGTGGTCTCGGGGGCGCGGGGACACCCGGTGCCCCACGCATCCCTGGCTGTTGGCAGCGGGCTGTCCCTTGCGCCTGTCCTGCGGGAAGGGTGCCCCAGCGTCGCTAGCAAGCGGGTGCTGCAGTCTCCGGCCACGTGACTGTTCTCCATGTGAGATGGGACGGCCATTGCCCCCACACATTGCTGGCGGACGCCCCCCTGCACCTTGCTGGCTACCATGCTCAGCATCCCGTTTGTGTTTCTCTGGTGTCACCTCTGCACATTGGGTTTGGCCCGGAGGCTGGAGTTACCTGAGCCCTTTGCTTAAAAGACAGCGAGGCCCCCACACTGGTCACATTTATGGCTTGTGTGGCCTCGGGCAGGCACTTTGAACTTCCCTGCAGTTTCAGCATCCATGGGACAGACTTGTCTTCCAGGGGCTCTTGTGAGGATAGACTTAGTCTCCCAAAGCCCCAGGTGCACAGCGGGTGCCCCAAGGTGTTGTAGATACTGCCGCTGCTGCTTGAGTGTGTCTCCTGCTTGTTTTGATTCATGGCGCCCTTTCCTGCCCACACTTGATTTCTGGGAGGCCCAGAAGGCGTTCAGAGACATGCTGTCTTTAGCAGGCCCTTGCACTCCGACTCTGAGCCCAGGCGTTCACGTTGGTGATGCGTCTGGGCTGGGGCATCAGCATTGCCTGGGTCATGTTAGAAATGCCATTCTTGGGGCCCCCAGACCCAGCACGTCTGCTTGGGGCTGGCCCCGCTGTCGCTGCCCCACAAGCCCTCCAGGGTCTGAGGCTTGCTCGGTTCTCGAAGCCATCGGTGGAGGCCCAGCGGGCAGCCGTGTGGTGAAAACTTATGCTCACCAGCAGCGCCAGGCAAGGGTGGTGTGATGCCAGGGACACCACCGTGTACACAGTAGGACCTCACATGAGGAAAAGGAACATTAACTCTGTCACAATGGCAGATCCAAGTGTCCCACTTTACAGAGGAATGTCCCACAGCTGTCAGCTTGAAGTTGAGGGTGGCAGGCAAGAGCGGAAGTTTCTGGCACCTAATAGAGGAACAACAGTAGCCCCATGTGATTCTGTAACTTGTTAATACCCGCAAACTGCGTTACGCGTTCACTTACATGTTACTTGTGTGAACATTTTCTCTGATGTGGTAACTAAGCTTTGTCATTGGGCTTAGCTGTGGGCACAGCAGATTAGACGTGGGTGCTGCCCCCGTTAGAGGGGTGCCAGGGTTGCGTCGGTGGTTTGGTGGTGAATTCACCTTTCTTGTCTGTCTGCAGACTCACTATGCCGTTCAGGACACTAAGGGGTTTCATACTGAAGAAGATATTGACGGCTTGCACGCCACCATTGAGTGTGAGCAGCCCCAGCCCGACCTGTACAAGTGAGTCCCATCTGTGCTCCCAGTAACTACCTTTGTCCCCCCAAGTGTCCTTGCTCTGCACCGGCCACACCCAGCACCATGCTTGTTTGGAAAGACCGTGTAAAACCGCTGCATAAAAACGAAGACCAAACCAGAAATATGTCACTTAGAAATTTTCATGGTTCAGCAACATTACGATCTATAGCCGTTTATGCAGATATTTGGACTGGCTTTAATGAAACAAGCTTATTGAAGAAAAAGTAATTTTCTGTGACATGAGGAACCGATTTTAAGGAAAATCCTTGAAGTCAAGGGCTAATAAGGACAGAAAGTAAAGGGGGAACAGGGGAGGAATTTAGGTAAAGATCCCAACCTGCGAGCTTCCCGGCGGGAACTGGGAGGTGGGTGCAGGGAGCAGGAGGGTGCCTGGCCCTGCGTCTTGGCCACCGCTGCAGGCAGTGACCCGGCTTCTCTGTCGCCAGGTTTGTCGGCCGCATCAACGTCTACAGCGATCGGAACGACCCCGTGGTGAGGTGAGCACAGACACGCTTGTGGGCGTTTTCACCCCCGCTGTCAAATCCAAGTGAATTCTTAGATTACTGATAAGAGGTTTCCACTGCTGCTGCTCCATTGGGTTTTGAAGACAGAATTCTGCTTTACGAAAGGTCCAGCTTCCGTTGTCTTTTGTGCCTTCTCTTGTGAACACAGCTATATGTGCCAACACCTGATGGCACTCACGGAAAAAGTTCTCTCCCCAGTGTCAGGAGCCCCTCTAACCGTTAGCTGCTGCCCCCGTTGGAAATGCCCTTCGACCTTGTAGACAGTGAGGTTGAGGGATTCCTGACATTTTATCAGAACGTAAGCACCTACTCACAGTTGTCACTGGGACAGTTTTGGTTCTAGATTGTGTCTAGATTTAAGGGGCTGTGCCTCACTGGGGACCATGTGGGTGATAGGCAGGTGTGCTCACCTGTCATAGTCTGGGACCCGTCACACACGTGGGTTGTGGACAAGGACCCGCACCTGCCAGGTGTCAGTGCTGAAGCCCAGGGGCCGCACTGTCTCCCTGTGTCTGCAGGCCTGTGGGTGTGTCTTTTGGACGTTGCTCCCCGCTCTGGAGGGTTTTGCTGCCCAGGTCGCCGAGACGGACAGTTTAGGAAGTTGACTTTGAGTAGGATTCAGACTTGACCTTTTCTGTAAACCTCACTTGTTGGAGACATTCTTGTTCTTCCGATTTAAGTGATCTCCAAACCGTTGATACCCTGGTGTCACCTTATGTGTCAGAGAAAACCACTGCCTAGCAGTAAGAACTATTTCAGGGGGACTTTGATGAAAATAAATTGTTACTGAAAGGTAAGCCCCTGGGGCCTCTCTCCTCCTACAATCTTGAAATTCTGTTTTCTAGAAATGACTTGTGCACTTCACATTTTAGCACTGGTACCCAGTAGTGCTAGGGAGGCCGTGGGGCATGGCCGTGGTCTTTCATAAACGGATGCTAATCCACAGGGAGTTCCTGTGGGGAAACAACCTGTGCTTCTGTTTCTCGTGAGCATTAGCATCTGAAGGAGTAAGTAGAGAGGGGTTCGTTCACCATGCCGCTGGGATGAGCCCGAAAAAGCCAGCCGGCTTTTCGTGGTTCATGGTCAGATGAAGTTTAGCACCGAGCAGCGGGGAGGTAATTACTAACATATTTCATGTTTTGATACTAATTCTTGTTTTGCTTTTTAAGTATTTATACTTTCCAGCAGACTTTTAATACATGAGTGTGGAAGGCGTTTATATCTGTGGTGCGAGCGAATGGTGATGGATCATGTATCCTGCTCCTAATCCACTCAGAGTGGTACTTCTCCGTCCTCTGTCCAAACTAGATGCACAATTCCTTTTAAAGTAAATTATTTTAGACTTCCCAGAGACACCTTTTTAAAGGGCCGCTTGCTTTCACAAACACGTCCAACAGGAGCTCTAAGTGCCACTGGCGGAGGCTGGTGGTACGGGTAACAGGAGATGACCGTGCGTGCGCAGCCTCCGTGGCCATCAGGCCGGGCACGCGTGTCCAGACCACAGGGCCGCCCTGGGCAGGCACGTCCGGTCAGGTGCGCCCCAGCAGCAGCCTCCCCACCCTCGTTTCAGCCAGCAGGGGTCCTGAGCTGCATCGGTTAAGCGTACGGACGCACCACAAGTACGTGGCATTTGTGGGCAGCTGGCTCCCCGGGGCCAACGCCCGTGGCACACGCTGAAAAGCGACAGCACTTGCCTTCGCCCCACCAGGGAATGTGAGCGCACTCACTGAGCAACGCTGGCAAGGCTGCAGCCTGTGCCTCCTTCTCTTCCTCCTGGGAACTGACGAGAATCCGAACCCCGCAAAGGCAGAGGTTTTGTCCGTGGCCGTTGAGGGCGTAGGGCCCTGCTCATTCCTACGCGGATGACTTTTAAATTCCTGGCCATGGCTTGCCCAGAGCGGCGGCACATGGCGGTTCCGGGTTTTGAGGCCACCTGCCCCCGGAGGGTCCGTGTGGGTTTGCACCCCCGCCCCGTGTTGATGACTGCACACAGCGTTCCCAGCCCCTACGTCTGAAAGCAAGACCAGATCCCGTGAGACTCGTGGAGTCTCTCTGAGGATGCGGTGGAGTCCACCGAAGCCTCCCGAGTCACACATCATCTTTTCTCTCTCCCTGAACGGTCGGGGGCCCCCAGCCCAGCGGTGCTCACAGGAGGCCTGTTAGGAGCGCGTGTCCAGGCACTGCTGGTAGGACCCTGTGGGTCAGCCCGCCTCCCTCCATCGGCCTGGACAGGCTGGGAGTCCACGTTCCTGACGGGGCCGCACACGTGCCGGTGCCCTGAGGGCAGGTGCTGTGGAGTGCCAGCCGCTGGGTCCCCCCACAGAGTGGTTCTTACCCCCCCAGGGGAAGGCCGCATGCTCTTATGAGGAGCCGGGCTAACTTCCATAGTCCAGATAGAAGCACCTCCTTGGAGACGCGATTTCTTCTTGGAACCAAGTCTGTTAGGTGCAGGCCTCGAATTTGTGCCTGTAGCACCTTCCTCTATTTGCTGCATTACTGTCTCTGGTCCCTCTATCCTTCCAGGCCGCTGGGGTCAGAGAACCTGCTTCTCAGAGGAGCGACGCTTAAGAACACTGAGAAGATCTTCGGTCAGTGTCTCGGTTGGCTAATTAGTACTAACAGCTTATAAAGTTAAGGTGCACAGAGCAGTTAAAGTCCACAGTGCTGCCACAAACGAGCTCTCCGTGCCCTGAGTGGACTCTGGCACCAGTGAAAACCCGTGCTGAGGATGACGAAGCAGTGAGGTCTCAGGGTGTCACTTGCGTATCAAGTGCCTGTAGTTTTTGACTTAGAAACATAGAGTCATGTCCACGAGAGAATTCACAGTCTGTTTCCACAGCAGATTTCTCTCAACGCCTGCATATCTTTGGTAACGTCTCCCATTTCTGTGGGTTATGTTTGTTTTTTAATTGAGACAACTTAAAAATATACACATGTGCCCCGTTGTCAGAAAACCCAATATCTTTTTTTTTTTTTTTTCCAACATTTATTTTTTGGGGACAGAGAGAGACAGAGCATGAACGGGGGAGGGGCAGAGAGAGAGGGAGACACAGAATCGGAAACAGGCTCCAGGCTCCGAGCCATCAGCCCAGAGCCTGACGCAGGGCTCGAACTCACGGACCGCGAGATCGTGACCCGGCTGAAGTCGGACGCTTAACCGACTGCGCCACCCAGGCGCCCCTGAAAACCCAATATCTTAAAACCTGAGCTTCAAGAAAAAGTAGAGATTGATCTCTACATGGGAAAAAAACAAACATTTCTTTTTTTTTTTTTTTAATTTTTTTAATGTTTATTCATTTTTGACAGAGAGACAGACTGTGAGCAGGGAAGGGGCAGAGAGAGAGGGAGACACAGAATCCGAAGCAGGCTCCAGGCTCTGAGCTGTCAGCACAGAGCCCGATGCGGGGCTCAAACTCACAAACCGCCGAGATCATGACCTGAGCCGAAGTCAGACACCTAATCAACTGAACCACCCAGGCGCCCCTAAAAAAAACATTTCTTTAGTCTGAAGAATCCTGTTGTGGAACTCTTTTTATGAACAGCTAGGTTGCCTAGTGAAATTTAGAATACAACTTTTGTCCAAACTTCTGTATTTACTGCAGCTGTGTGCAGCTTCCTGCGTGAAGGCAAGGTTAGCCTGTGTTATTGTTCTAACTGCTGTCTTCTGCCTTGCAGGTGTTGCTATCTACACGGGCATGGAAACCAAGATGGCATTAAATTACCAATCAAAATCCCAGAAGCGATCTGCTGTAGAAAAGTAAGTGTCAGTACCCCTTTGTTTGAAGTGCGTACAGCTCCATGACCTGGAACCATCATGAGCCCCTGTAGACATGAAAGCATTTTCCTTCTGGCTTCATTAGTAATTCCTTCATGGTCTCTAGGGAGACAGCAGCACCGGGCATTTAGACAGATGGTCTCAATCTGCGGGGCAGCAAATGGCTGCATGCGTTCAGCCTACGTCTTCAGGCTCCCTCCTGTGGACACCTAGAGTCCCAGCAGCTCCTCTCACCAATCCATGGAAACGTCAAAATCGGGTCACTTTCAGCTTTGGGGTTGTTGGAAACCGTATGTTTTTCTGAGGGAAACATAAGCAGAGAGAACAATCTTCCTTTCGTTAAACAGTAAAATCCTTACCATCATGAGTCAAGGACAGTTGAATTTGTGAGAAAATATGGCCCAGAATGTTGTCTTACTTTCCTTTTGTTCAAGTGCATCCTTCACTTGGCGGTGGTTACAAGTTATTCCACACGTTGGGGGTGGGGGGGTGGTGGACTTGGGGATCTTTGGGAAGACTGTCAGGTGTCTGCTGCCTGCCTCAGGCAGGTTGGTCTCAGAATGTGATCCTGCCATCTCCGTCCATCGACTGCTACACTGAATATGAAAGTGGAGATTTGGCTCTTAATAAGCAAGAATGCTCTGTTTCCAGGTGTTACCTTGATGAATAGGTTTCAGAAATAAATACTGGAAACTCAAGCCTTCTTCACAAGATCCGCTGAGCCATTGGCCAGGGATTCAGCCTTTTTCCTATTCGGAGGGCATTTCTCTCCTGCCCCAGTGGTACTGGGGAACTCACTGGTTGGAGCTTAGTGGCCGAAGGGTGGACATCTGGGTGTCTCTGAATCTTGGACTCCCGGACCGCACAGTCAGCAGTGTGGCTGCATGAACTGCCCTCTCCTGTTCTTGAGACTTTCCCTGTGGCCCCAGAATCACACGCCAGTGCAAGCTTCTGTTCTCATGGTGACCGTGCCAGGTGATGGGGGCGGGGGGGGTGGCTCACACGTTGCTCTGTTTCCCGGCCACGCATTTGGCTTGAGGTCCATCAACTGTCTACACAAAAGCACTATCAACTGTCATATAAATAAAGTTTAAAAAACCAACTCTGCTGTCATGTTTCATGAGTTACAGGATGCATCTGTGAGAATGAACTAAAATGGAAAAGTTTTCATCGGAACCGTTCTGATAACACACCCGCCCCAGATGCCTGGGAACACAGCACGGAGGGCAAGCAGGTCCCTCGGGAAGCAGTGACTAAGTATCATTGCTGTCTTGTGTTGTAGATCCATGAATGTGTTCCTCATTGTGTACCTCTGCATTCTGGTCAGTAAAGCACTGATAAACACCGTCCTCAAGTACGTGTGGCAGAGCGAACCGTTCCGAGATGAGCCGTGGTACAATCACAAAACCGAATCGGAAAGACAGAGGAACCTGGTACGGAAAGTGCGTCCCTTTGTGGCGACCAGACCGCCTGTGAGCCATTGTTATGGCAACATGGCAGGAGAACAGGAGGCCTCGGTTGGTGACATCTCTGTCCTGGAGGCGTTCACTGATCTCAGGCTGTGTCAGTGGTCTCTCCCTGCGGACCGCACTCGCCCCCGAGCGTCAGTGGTCTCCCCCTGTGGACCGTGCTCGCCCCTGTCTTGGTTGGGTACTGGAATGTATACTCTGGAGAGGGATTGGCCCCCACAGTGAATTCATTAGGGCAGCACCGTAAACATTTCCAGAGCTTCTAGAACCCAGCACAGTGTCCTGTACTTAGAGACTGTTCAGCAAATGCTCAGTGAGGATCATGAGGCAGATGGGGCTGACTTACGGAGAGACTAAAGAAAGGAGGAACATGTCAGTTATAGGAAAATTATGGTAAGAACTGATTGCATTTCCCCTTGGGGTTCGGGCTCAGTTGCTCATGTCTATGAAAACCTATTTTCCCTAAGCCACGAGTTAAAATCATTTGACCGAACCTTCTCCACTTAAAAGAGTACTGTTTTCTTCCCTGAGTTAACACCTGAGCTATGTGCCTCCAGAACAGGTAGCACTGGGTGCAGAGCGGGGCCACGTGCGGGTCCAGAGCAGAGTCCTGCCTCACCTGTGTTCAGTTGGATCTCCCACGGAACTAAATGGCTTAGAGATCAGAACAAAACTGTGCAGAGAAGTCCTTTCTCCCAGCCTTATTTCTGGGGCTGGGTTATTACCAAGTAAGTTTGGAAACATGTCAGAGTCTGGAAGCAAGTGTGGAACCCTCAAAACGTGCAGTTTCCCGCCAGCTCTTAGGAGGCAGGCGCCTGTCTCCCCCAGTGTGACTATCTCACAGGTGACCTGCCCCTTGTCCCCGCCACCAGTATAGGCCTTCTTCCTGTCTGTGGCCCTCACGGTGCTAAAGTCAGGTGACTGGCCACTAAGCTGTGCCTGCCCCCAAATAATGTGTATCTTTGGATTTGAAATAAACACCTTTATTTACAGATAACACTGGCGCGACCTGAAGGGAACGCTAAGTGTCAGATCTTCGTGGTGTTGGTGATGGGACGCGGGAATCACGCGGGGCTCTCTCAGTTCCTCAGGGCATTCACGGACTTCCTGGCGTTCATGGTTCTCTTCAACTACATCATCCCGGTGTCCATGTACGTCACGGTGGAAATGCAGAAGTTCCTGGGCTCGTACTTCATCACCTGGGATGAAGACATGTTTGATGAGGACACAGGCGAAGGGCCTCTGGTCAACACCTCAGACCTGAACGAAGAATTAGGACAGGTCAGTGTGTGCGGCGGCCTCTTCCCCAACTTGTAGATGATCGTGCCCTCCGTGCTGTGTTCCCAGGCGTCTGGGGTGGGTGTGTTATCAGGACGGTTCCGATGAAAACTTTCCCATTTTAGTTCATCCTCACAGATGCATTCTATAACTCATGAAACACGGCAGCAGAGTTGGTTTTTTAAACTTTATTTATATGACAGTCGATCGTGCTTTTGTGTAGAAACTTGATGGGAAATCAGCTGTATTAGCTGTTTGATGAAAGCTCACCGTGCGGCTGCAGTGCTGCTCGTTCTGGCTTTTCATGCCATGAAGGCAGGGAGACCGTGTTTCACAGGCAGCGCAGTCCGCTTTTCTGGGTGATTCCCTTTCCTCAGTCTGAAGATGAGCAAAGAGACACCTCCGAGTGTCCGTGGCTGGGTGGATTGCAGGGGTCAGACACCTCATTGCACACTGTTGGCCCGAGCTCTCCGTATCTGAGCTGCTTCGTCTGTGAAATGGGCCTGATACCTGCCCTGCCCAAGTGCAGGGCGGGCTGAATGGGGTGTTGGCCGGTGTGCATTGCCGCTCAGGGCCGCCCAGAAGAGGGGCAGAGCCCGTGCACGCCCATCCACCGGCCCCACAGCTCAGCTCCATCGCTGTGCCCCAGCCTGACCCTCTCCTGGCTCTTACGTCTTGGGAAAGGGCATTTGGTAAATGGTGGTTCGTTCATCTTTGAAAAGAAAAAGGAAAAAAACAGGAAGAAACTTGGAAGATTTTTGCAAAGAGGGCCGTTTTAGACTGGCAGCTGAAATCCACCCCCTACAGAACAGCAGTCTGCAGTAGATGCACAGACTCAGGTGGGGGCCTGCAGCGCTCCCCCCTTGTGTCAAGGGGGTCTGTTCCCGAGAGAGAACTTGCTGGTTGGTGAGCATGGCTCTCAGGGCATCGCTCCAGTGTGTGCCACGGCCCCGGGCTGGACTCCGGTGTCACACAGCCACGCAGAGCCCCGGCCCGCTCACTCAGCGCCAGACCAGCTTTCCCTCTGCACATTCACACCCTCGGTAACATTACCTGGTGTATTTTGTGTGTTGCTGAGAAATTCTCAGAGGAAAGCATTTCTCTGTAACAAGAAAAATGTCGAGTTTACTACGGAGAACGTATCTGGCTCCAGCTGTCGGACAGCACAGGGGCCCCGGAGGTTTGTGGGAAAGCTTCAGGAGATCGGGCCTCCTGAAATAGTCATTATCATCGTTGGTCCTCACTCTGAAAAATGTCAGATGTCGCTTACTTCCAGTAACACAGCCGCCCGTGCCCGTGAGCCCTCACAAGCGGGCGCCTTCCTGTCACTAGTTTTCCAGATTGTGGGGAGAGGCCTGGCAGAGTTTTGGGTGTTTGGATGACAGGTGGTTTAAAAATAATTCAGGGGGGTACTGCTGTGTACTTACAGTTTACTTGAGTCAAGCACACAGGGGAAGGCATTTTCTGCGGTGGGATTAAGACACAAGAGAACAGGGGCGCCTGGGTGGCGCAGTCGGTTGAGCGTCCGACTTCAGCCAGGTCGCGATCTCGCGGTCCGTGAGTTCGAGCCCCGCGTCGGGCTCTGGGCTGATGGCTCAGAGCCTGGAGCCTGTTTCCGATTCTGTGTCTCCCTCTCTCTCTGCCCCTCCCCCGTTCATGCTCTGTCTCTCTCTGTCCCAAAAATAAAAAAAAATAAAAAACGTTGAAAAAAAAAAATTAAAAAAAAAAAAAAGACACAAGAGAACATTTTGCTGAAAAAGGCACAGCATGAAACATGTAGCCGGTTCATTACCTGTCTCCTCTGCTTCCCAGGCTCCTGCACTTTACTGCCCTTAAACCTGCCTCCCTTGCGTGTCCCGCGCAGTGAGCGGGGACTTGCTCCTCCAGCCAGCGGGGCTTGGACGGCGGGGATCCCCACGCTGTTCCACTGTCCAGAATTCTACGTCATTCCTGATGAACATGTACCCGAAATTGATCCAAGTTTAGGGCTTAAAACTGGGTATAGTTTTGTGTCTGAAATTTGCTCTGTGCTTTTGTTTGAGTTCTGACTGGTGAACTGTCAGTGGTGTGGTGAGTTTTGACCTCCCAGACCTCAGAGTGAGCTCAGGTTCATTCTCCCTGCATCCTTCATTTTCTCATACCCCCGCCCCACATCTGTGCGTACAAACAACGGGAGCCGAGCTGCACCCAGAGCTTCCACCTCCAGACCCAGAGGAAGGTGCTCACGCGGCTCCGACGGGACTGCTGGCCTCGGCGGGAGGTAGAGGAGGCTGGCTCGCCAGGCGCAGGGTCCAGCGGCTCCGGCAGGGTGGGGGGTGGAGCCCGGGAAGCCCCCTCCAGGTGGAAGCGGGGCTGCACCGGGGTCTGACCCGTGAGTGGCACCTTCTCTGTGCCCGAGGCCGCGGGCCCCTGGCCAGACCTGCCCAGCGCAGCCGTGTGTCCGCAGGTGGAGTACGTCTTCACGGACAAGACCGGCACGCTCACAGAGAACAACATGGAGTTCAAGGAGTGCTGCATCGAGGGCCACGTGTACGTACCGCACGCCGTCTGCAACGGGCAGGTGCTCCCCGATGCCTCCGGCATCGACATGATCGACTCCTCCCCGGGCGCCGGCGCCAGGGTAGGTGGGCATGCCCCAGCAGGTGCGCTCCCTCGGGGCCGTCCTCTCTGTCCTGAACAGGTTCCCGATCACAGGGTGGGCTGCACCACCTCGTGCTCAGGTCCCCTAGTGACCAGTGTGGAGCCTGTGGGGCGCCGCCACTTCTGCCAGCAAGTCCGGCAGGTCACATCCGTGTGAGAAGCAGCTTTACACTGTGGACAGGCAGGCGAGTGGTGGGCTGAGGGCAGAGGGGCTCAGTGCACCAGGGGTGTGTGCTCACGCACGTGTGCATATTCACGCTCAAGCACATACGCACACATGCATGCACAGAGATGCACACACACAGACACATGCCCCCCCACGCACACGTGCGTTGCACGTGCATAGTACACACACCTTCATGTGTGCGCACACACTACGCTGAAGTGCACATACGTGCCCTTCATCTCAGATGTGCAGGTGTGTACACACACATACATGTGCACACACCAGACTATGTCCCCCACGTGTGCTGCACGTACACACGTGTGCACACACAGACACGTGGCCTTCCTGCTCACACGTGCATTACGTGTACATACACACATGCACAGACATAACTTATGTGCACATACCCTTATACGCGTACACAAGCTACAGTCTAGCACGCGTGCGCGCGCACACACACACAATCTCACAGGCACACACGCACACATACCCATGTGCTGTGGCTCCAGATCTCAGCATCTCTGGGAGGTGTTGTGACCCTCACCACGGTCACCATGGTCAGTGAGGAGACCATTCCCGAAACCTTGGTGACTGCAGAGCTCTGTGCAGGGTCACACAGCTCACCTTAGCAGGCTGCACAGTGACGGCCTGTCGTGACCAAGTGCCCCCCCACCTCCTGCCACGTGTGCCTCTAACAGTTTCCGCCTGGGGACTGCGGCTTCCCCGCAGAGCCTCAGAGGGAGGGCCCGGGGTCTGTGGTCATCGTGAGGTGTGCCACCGGCTCGGTGCTCTCTTGGCGCCCTTCTGCCTCAGCCGCACCCCAGGGCCCCCAGGAAGTGGTCGGGGATCCCCAGGGCACACAGGCTCGCAGGGGTTTGGCCCGCCGAGTTCACCGCCTGCGACCTTGACCCCGTCTCCTCCCCTTCTTACTCAGAAGTGCTGGAGAATGAAGAGAAGCCACACACACCCCACCCTTAAGCACCAGAGGGGACACTAACCCCTCCGAACCCCTGAAGGGCGCCCACCCTGCTTCATTGTCAATTCGCCATGTGCTCTGAGCTGCGTCAGCATAGACGTGTGGGGTCTTGTGCTGCACTTTGACAGGAGCGAGAAGAGCTGTTTTTCCGGGCCCTGTGCCTGTGCCACACAATCCAGGTGAAGGATGACGATGACGTGGATGGACCCAGGAAGTCACCAGACTCGGGGAAGTCCTGTGTGTACATCTCGTCCTCTCCCGATGAGGTGGCCCTAGTCGAAGGTATCCAGAGGTACGTGTCCGGCCGCGGGCGGGTCTGGTGCCTGAGGTCCATGCTGTGCGATCCGCCCCGACCACGGCTCATACCGGCATGTCCCGACGCGGTCCCGTGCTGCGGGGGAAGGGGGCTAGATAGGCAGTGCCCTCACGCCCCAGTGCCCCCCATCTCTGTTGGTGGAGGACGGTCCCTTCTGCACACAGCCTGCCGCCGGCAGCTCCCCTGCTACTGGTTGTTACCACTGTCTTAGATGCATGGTTCCCCTTCTAACTTCTGTTGAAGATACAAACAGTCTTAGATGCATTTTATGGCCAGTCTTTTCTGTCCTAAAGAATTGGTGCCCAGGGATGTCAAGCAACTTGGGCAGTGTCACACAGCATAGGGTGCGGGGCTGTCTTCGTAGTTCACTTTGTCTGCTGTTGTGTGAGGTCTGTGTGCCTTCCGCCGCCCACACCCTCCTACTGGGAATTCTGGCTGCCTCAGGACGTGGCCTTCCACAGATGGCATTCTGAGCAAACATGGGGAAGAATCCTTTATTCCAGAGCCACGTCAGGGAGATGTTTCCCCAGTTCCCGCAGCCTACGGCTACTGAGTTAATGCCGGGGGCCCATCGTCCCTCTTCGCTGCCAGTAACGAAAGGGCGTTGAACACTCTCATCTGCTTAGAATCTGTGCATTGTTGACTCATGCGTTTTTCTTTTTCTTTTTTAACTTTGTATCATTTATTTTGAGAGAGGGAGAGAGAGAGAGAGAGAGACAGTGCAAGTTGGGGAGGGGCACAGAGAGGGAGAGAGAGAATCCCGGGTTGATGCCACACTGTCAGTGCAGAGCCCGATGTGGGGCTTGGACTCAAAACCATGAGATCGTGACCTGAGCAGAAACCAAGAGTCAGATGCTCAACCAACTGAACCACCCAGGCACCCCAACTCATGCATTTTCCCTGTGCAGTTTGAGTGGTGACTTCAGGCATGTAAGTTGTGTCAGCGGGACCTTGATCAAATGTGCAAATTCACACACGTGCAGAGGAGCTCTCTCCTTGGACACGAGGGCTCAGAAGGGAAAGCTTGTGCAGTCACATTAGAAGTCAGGACGGGCTTTCCTGCCGGTCACTGTAGACACACTGCTGGGGCGAGTGGACACCCTGTTCCCATGGTCCTGTGGCGCCCTGGCATCGTCGTGGCCACCGGCTGTGTTCAGGTGGCAGTTCCACGTCCCCATCTCTCAGCTCCTGGTGCACAGAAGCCACGCCCCTCTCTCTGCACCATAGCACCTGGCACACAGGCAGCTCTCAGGCTGGCAGAGGAGGGGTGTTACAGGTTACACACTCTGCGGGCTTGATGACTGACTGCTTGCTCTGGGCTGTAGTTTCCTCATCAGTAAACTGAGAGGGTCATTCTGGAGACACCGTGTCCCAGGATCCTTGTGATTGTGACATGGCTGCCGTGGCTAAACAGCCCACTGATCAGTGGGCAGAAAGGGGTCGCCACCCACGGGCCGGTCCACACACCTGCTCCTGTCCTCCTGACACCCATTAACACCAGTACGAGGGCACGATAAGTCACAAGGCTGTTGGCTCTCGGAGAATTTCTTGAGATGGTGAATACGTCACTGTGATAACTTCCTAACTCTGCAATGCAGTTTACAATCTCTGTTTTGCCAGAAGTATTTCTTTCTTGAAAAGAACGCTTTCCCCAAACTTAAGTAACGTGTAGAGGAGGAACCTGGGGACTCTGGCTAAGCTCCGCACTTGTGCGCTTCTTTGCAGACTCGGCTTCACGTACCTGCGGCTAAAGGAGAACTACATGGAGATACTGAACAGGGAGAACGGCGTGGAGAGGTGAGGGCCGCACGCTGGGGGAAGGACTCCTCCACACGACAGCTTTCCCGGGGAAAACCCAGACCCTCTGTCCTCCCACGCCTGCCTCCCCTTCTTCTCCGGAGAACCCAGGACCGTCGCCCACTGGTGGGGAGGTTAGGAGTGGACGGCCAGAGTGGAGGCCGGCCAGTGCCGCGGCGCCCGGAGGGTCTGCCGTGAGCCACCTGACATCAGGCTTTAGCACGAGAGTGCCCTCAGCTTCTAACACATTCTGACACTCTCCCAGCCGCTGTCTGCCTGCCTGCCTGCCTGCCTGTCTGCCACAGGGAGTGGCCACAGTGGTCCCGTGTTCACACAGCACCAGCCCCCGGGCTGTGGGACCCCGTGGCCTGCTGAAGACAGTCTGAGCAAGGACGCGGTGGGTGCTGGTGCTTCCCGTTCTGTCTTCAGTGACCACGTGTGCTCAGGGTTGGTGGCCATGTTGTTCTGAGATGCCTTGTCCCAGAGACAGAGGGCGTGTCTTGAGTCTTGACTCGGGGCTGCTGGTCTCCTTTATAAACACAAACGTGCGGTGATGGGCACGGGGAAGGACAGGTGGCAAAGAATGTGACACTGGGTGGTGACAGCCTCAGAATCCCCCGAATTTTTTTTTTTTTTTAATTTTTTTTCAACGTTTTTATTTATTTTTGGGACAGAGAGAGACAGAGCACCTAACGTGGAGTAGAGAGAGAGGGAGACAGAATCGGGAAACAGGCTCCAGGCCCGAGCCATCAGCCCAGAGCCTGACGCTGGGGCTCAACTCACGGACTGCCGAAGACATCAGTGACTCCACAGTCGACGCTAACTCACTGCGCCACCCAGGCTCTCCCAAGAATTCCCCCCCTAATTTTATTTCCGTTTCTCTTTGAGCAACATAAACCTCGGGTCAGTGGTGTACCCTCGACCGCCTAGTTGGCCGCGGGTCCTGTGTTGGCACAGGGGGCTTGTGCCCGCAGCACTGGGGGCTCCCGGGGCCCTGCCTGCCGTCCTGGCTCCCTCCGAGGTGGCAGGTGGGCTTCCGCAGAGGGGTTCTCCTACAGCTTGCCCTCTCCCCTACCCCCCACAAAAGCTGTGTAGCTGGGGTCTCTGTTCCTGAGAGTTCTCCAGAGACGGTGTCTGGGGTTGCTGAATTACCTTTGGTATTTCAAATGCCAGCAGAGATCGTGGTCTTCTGATGATAAGACTACAAGCCAATTAAATATTGGTTTTCTTTTTTTTTTTTTTTTTTTCAATGCTTATTTATTTTTTGGGACAGAGAGAGATGGTATATGAACGGGGAGGGGTAGAGAGAGAGGGACACAGAATCGAAATGGGGCCTCCAGGCTCCCTGAGCCAGCCTGTGAGTTCATCGCCGGGCTCAACTCACGGACCGCTGCAGATCGCGACCTGGCTGAAGTCGGACGCGAATCCGACTACAGCTTCACCCAGGCGCCCCTGGTTTTCTTTTTTTTTTAAATGATTCTTATTAACTGAAAGGACCCTGGTTTATTGTCCTGGGTTGGAAGCTCTGATAGTATCTGCGTGTCTGTGTTCCGAATCCAGGAAAGTGAATGTGCCTTTTGTTTGGGGAACGGACTCCCTGGGCACCTACACCTTGGGCTCGGGTTGAGGGGTCCCGTGCGTAGGTCCTGGTGGTGAGCACACGGGAGCCTGGCCTTGGGGGTGTTGTGCCAGCTGTGAGGAGCAGAGTCCCCCCACTCATGGGTCCCGACTCCATGAAGGAGCGGCCTGGCCGGGAGGGACGGGGCAGGCGTGCAGGGAGGGCTCTCTGGACGCGGCAGAGGACACCCCGGATGTCCTGCTGAGCAGAGGCGTGTGATTACTTAGGCTCACAGGACTCATGGGGCAAGGTGCATGTCAAAACCAACTTTTAATCTCTTTTTCAGGTTTGAATTGCTGGAAATCTTGAGTTTTGACTCCGTAAGAAGGAGAATGAGTGTGATTGTCAGATCTGCTACAGGTAGAAATGTTTTTATCTTCCATTTCCTCAACTGCACAACGTAGCGGGTTTATTCTGATGCTCACATCCTGTAGCAGCACGAGGACTTAAGCGTTTGTTCGTTCTCTTTAAAACAAAAAGTTGCCGAACCCACTGTAGGTCCCGTATCTCCTCACGCCCCAGGCGCCCGGCCCTCCTCCTGGCACTCTGCTGGCACAGGAAAGCCTGATGTTTCCCCTTGACCAGCAAGTCCTATGGGGTCTCCTCTCCTTCCTGGCAGCCCCCTCACCGGCAGCCTGGGGTCTCCCACCTGCAGCCCCCGGCTCCTAATCTGCGGCACATCAGTCCTAAAGGGCCCCGAGGACACCTTGCTGGTGGCGCAGCCCCTCCTCCGGTGGCCAAGCCCTGGCTCCCGAGCTGCCTTCCCAGTTGTCAGCCCCCAGCCAACCCTGGACGTGTACATTTTCCACCTGGGGGCCCCTCCCCAGAGGCACCTTTCCCCCTGGGGGCCCCCTTGTTCACTTGCGCTTCTCTGAGGGCAGCCCCACGGCTGCCTTGCAGGAAGCCTTCCCTGGTTGCCTCTGTCGGGGGAGTTGTTGTCTTCTCACCAGCCAACTGTGAACATCCTGAAGACCGAACCCCTACTCACCTCAGCAGGGTACGCACCGCTGCCCTGCTCTCGACCACTCGGTAGATGCTGCTTAATTCAGTGCACTCAACGCAATCGCAATTTCAGAATGGCCTCTTGTCAAAAGATGTGGGATCTTACTCCTTTTTGTAAAGGGTAAAACTAGGTGGTGCCAGGCTGCGTATCTCTTTGGAAAGTTGCCTGGTTAGCAGCGAAACACAGCCATGACCCTGGAACCAGACTCTGAGCCTGACACGCTGATCTGAAGGCACATTGGCGAATTTTGTGTCAGCCAGTGTCCTGACACTCACGGGAGGACCTCGTGTGGGGACTACCTCAACAGGACTGCTGTGACCGTCTTCTGATGGGACCGTCAATGACTAGTTTTCCTCCTTAGGCCACAAAGGACAGTGCGAGGTTGCCGGGACGCGTCTTTTGGCAGGACCCCACGAGTCGCTTCCCAGGGTGCTGGATGATGAGCCTGGGGAAGGCACTTGGCAGCTCTGGGCACTGTCCCTGCATGGTCCCCGTGCCCCTGAGCCAGTTGTCAACAAGGAGGACCGGCAGGGCTCTGCCAATGAGTCTTGGCACCAGGTGTCGTGGGGCGTGAATAACATGAGCACTATTCGTAATGTGTCAAAATGGATTTGGGCACTGGGGTCAGCAGGGTGTGGGAAGCACTCGCCCACAGTGTCGACAGACATGCTCAGGTGTGTGGGGTATGCGGGGTGGGTGGCTCCCCAGCGGTTGGAGCACCTTTTCCAGGGTTGGAGCCTGTCAGAACACCCCAGAACAAAGGCGTGGGACTCTGGGACATGACATCCTCAGTCCTTCACCACGTGGTGTCCCCATGGGAATGTGAAGTGTCGCGGCTGAGTCCCACCTGGAAGGTGATTCAGGAGCCGGCAGGCATGACCTCGCCGCAGGAAGAGAAGCGAGACTTCTCACAGCTCCTGCCCCATCTGCACTTCTTCCTGAGCCACGTGCCCATACGTGCTCCCGGCAGGTGCACTGTGGAGTCCTCGACAGCTGCCACCTCCCTTCAAAGGCGCATCCCCAAAGCTCGGGGAGGAGCTGAGTCACATGAACAATTTTCGTCCGGGGCGTTCACTCCCCGACAACAGCCGCTTCCCTGGGACGACGTCTGCTTGTCCTCCAGGGTCCCCTGCGGGACTGCAGGCTCACAAGGACAGGCCACGTGCCATGTGCACCAGCCTCTGTGCCAACTTGCTTCAAGAGAAGTTTGAACAATTAAATGAACTGTTCTTTGGGTAGTAACGCATCCCTGGAGAGAATGCTAATTGCACTGGTTTTACAACCTAACGGGTTTGGGGGACCGTAGCCCCCCGGCCAGTTAACGGCGTGGGCTTCCTCCCGGGGCCATGGACATGCTCACTGTGCTGCGGGTGCCTCACTGTGCGTTCACTCTGCTGGGTTCTTCCTGCTTGTGGACAAACTTGCAAGAGCAGGATCCAGGAGTGGTTCCACGTGCTGCCTGCTCCTGCTTTTTTGCAGGTTAAAGTTTGATTCACACTCTGGTCATTTTCATGTTGGGGGCTGTCAGTAACCAAGCCCCAAGGCCAAACACATCCCTGGTGGAATGTATCGAGCGATTGACAAGTTAAGACAGTGGGAAATTTAAGCCACTCCCGAGCCAGTGCCTTGAGTCATCATGATTTTTCTAGAAAAAAAAGCGGGAACACATCATTATGTCGTCTCGACTAGCATTATTGCCGTGAACCATGTCTGACAACTTGCACGATTAGCTGGAAGACATGTCTGGAGTCAGGAATGGGTTCTGCCCCCAGGCTGGTTGTGGGCCAGCCCAGGCCCCACTCTTCCCGGCTCGTGATAAGAACCCACACAGTTGGTGGGCGTGTCCTGGGGATCTGGCTCCCTGCCCCATGTGGCCCTGCCCAGCTCCATGTGTCACCAGACACCATCTTTTCTGGCTGTAGGCTGACTTTAGCTTTAGTTTCAGGGCTTTGGTGAGCATAAATTGTGCTGTGTTTTAGGGGGGGTTTTAATGTTTATTTTTGAGAGAGAGCGAGAAAGCACGGGTGGGGGAGGGACAGAGAGAGAGGGAGACACAGAACCCAAAGCAGGCTGCAGGCGACGTGGGGCTTGAACCCACGAACCGTGAGATCGTGACCTGAGCTGGTCAGACACTCAACTGAGTGAGCCACCCAGACGCCCCTGAATTGTGCTATTTTACATGTTTTCGCTCTGTGTGCTGGAGGGAGTCCTCTCTGGCATCAAGGGGATGAACCTAGCTGGGCTCCGAATGCCACACTTGAGCTCAGGCACCCTCATCCAGGTTCCCGTGCTGTCCAGCCAAGCGGTCTCACTAGCTGTCACCCCAGGGGTGTGCCCTCCCCACGGCCCTTTCTCAGCTGCCCCCCTAGGAGCAGTGGCCGCCCCTCCTGGTGCCTCTGGACTTGGCTTCCCCTGAGGGCCACCAGTGTCTAGGAATTCCAAGACCAGCCCCAGGCTAGGATGTCTGCGCTTCCTGTCTAAAGGCGGGTGACGGAGACAATACCAGTCATGGCCGCCGCTGCTGTCATGGACTGACCTCACGGTGTTTCAGGAGCCGCATGCAGACAAAGCTGGCCTAGCTGTGTGCTGTGTGGTTTTTCGGGCCAGGAGATTCGTGGCTGGAAAAGAAAGAGCCCCTGGGTGCCAAGGGCCTGTTGACCAGAGCGGCACTTCTGTGTTGTTGATCTCTTCATCTTGGCTGGAGAGCTTTTCTGCTTCCCTGGAAGAGGAAATTGGTTTATCTCAAGGGCAGGGAAGCATGTGTCTCAGCACCAGGGTGTACACGGTGGGGACATTGATGTGTCGGGGGCATTTCACAACAGATGTCCCTGTGGTCTTGGTGACGTGAAGGACAGCAGGATGCCCACCTGGCCAGGCCGAACCAGACAGAGGGCAGTGACAGTGGTGGCCCGTCCTGCCGGGAGGCACAGAGTCCGCGTTGTAGCGCGTGGCTTCAGCTTCCCCGACGGCGCGTGTTCACGGGTCTTGGGAAATCCCTACGATGTCTCAGCACTTGCGTCCCTATTTTTGTTTCTTAACAAAAGCAAATGTGAGAAAGGGTCTAGTCTTCTCTGCGTTGTGATTAAGCGTCTTTTTTTTTCTCATTTTGTAGGAGAAATCTATCTGTTTTGCAAAGGAGCAGACTCTTCAATATTTCCCCGTGTGATAGAAGGCAAAGTTGACCAGATCCGTTCCAGAGTGGAGCGCAACGCGGTGGTGAGCTGGTTGGAGGGCTGCACAGTTGTCCCACGCTGGG